TGTTTCTCCAAGAGCAATTCATTTGGGCTGGGGTAGGGGCTGTGCACAGCAGACCTTGAGCTTCAGTCTCGTTAAATGGCAATGATGAACAGAACAATCTCTAGAGGTTCTGAGTGGACCAAAAGTATCACAGGCCTGATTCACATTTTGTTTTTCTTTGGTATGGAAACACCAGGTGAATGATGGTTCATCTAAACCAACGTATTTGAGAGCACAACCAAGCTCACATGTCAGTCTGGAGGAAGAGATAATGGTTACGTGAAGGAAGGAAAGGACAGGGAGAGACACAGTGCTTACAAAACCTTTACATGACCTTCTTCGTCTTGCTCAATTCAGTTTGTTTGACTCTCCCTTCTCATTTCCCCCTTTGAGCTAGGAGCTGATTTGTACACTTCAGGCCTGACAAAGAAGAACTAACCCTACATTTAGGTGGGCATTAGTGTGTGTCCTTATGTGTCTTAATGAAGTGACCTAAGCCTCTCCCTTGAGAATCTAGTCGCACTTTGCAGCAGAAATGCTGACAGGACTCTGCCACAGTGATTCTGAGGGCATAGGACTTTATGCCACACGAAATCCCATCAAACTTAGCACAGTGCATAAAATTCTGAGCTGTTTGTTTTTTTGATTGATTGGATAAGGACAAAGTCAGCAAGTAGTAAGGTTTTCCAAGATTTTGCAAGTTTTATTGAAGAGTGAAATGACCAAGAGCTCTTCCTGGTATCTCTCTTGTGCTGACCATGCTTTGAAACTACCAGGAATTCTTTGTCCTTTTGAAAGCAAAGTAGTTGCTCCAGAATCAAAGCACGGATGCATGACCCCGCTTTCTTCTATGCCAGTGTCAAATTAAATGCAGTTCCTCTATGTGGATCCCGTAAATAGATATGTATTCCCACCACTGGGAGAATAATCCTGGCCAGTAAAGGGAATCATATTTTTCAGTAAGGCCGTAAAAGCTGCCTGCAGAGAAATAGGTACTCTCAGCACATCAGATACTACTGGGAAGTCTACGTTGTTTTCTCATTCTTTTGAGGAGACAAGACGTGCTTTGTTGGGCTTGTGAGCCAACACTTCATTGGTGTCAGGGAGTAATATTGGACTGATGTTTTAGAAGGAGACAATTGAAATCAATACAGTGAATAACAAGTGATGATGGCGATGTAACTAATTAACAATTATTTTATGCTCTCAGGGACCATTTTCATCCTGCCACCTGAGAGTTCTCTGTCTTCTGTAAAGAAACTAATACCTCTCTTTCTCCTTCTCTGACTTTGATTGCTTGGCTCCAGACCCAGATTTCCAAGGCTGCATAAAGTGTCTAGGGCACATAGTTCCTGGTTCTAATTTGTAGTATAAGGATATAATAGTTGATGATGAAGTCGGTCTAGTAGAGACAAGAAATCTCAGGACAGCCTAGCATGGGGCAGGGACTGAGCCTGCAACTTTGCTTTTGGAAAGACTGTGCAGTGCACTGTAGGCTTGCCTTATGCTTTGTGTGGCTCTGCAACTCTTCAACAAGCAGCACTTGTCTGAATCCCACATGTGCCACTTCTAGGTAAATGGGGGATATTGTTGGAGCACAAGACTAGATTTGCTCTGGTGAATGAGAAGAAAGCTATTCTCCCTAAGCAATATGCCCCATGAACCCTGTTGTCTCTGAAATTGAGATTTTTTTTTTCCTCAAAGGGATGGTATTGCCACCTACTTCAGGGTTTTAAGTTCCCCACCACTGGCCGTAGTCAGGAAGAAGGTTGCCTTGCATAGATGAAATTTCTGGTGTTTGTTACTCTCTGAAACTGTCCTAGTTTGACAACTATGCTACTTCATTGTGGTGACTTTAACATTTCCATGATATTCCAAGACGAATCACTTACTGTAAACCATGCATCTGCAGTCCATTTAGTAGATTTAATTGCAGACCTCAAATATGAAGGGAAAATACTTGTTTTATTTATGGGCTGTATAACAATAGAGTCATCAGGAGAAGCTAGTGTTCTGTGCAGAGAGAGACCTCAAAGTACCTTCTTAATGGATGACAGCATGAATGCAATTCATTAATGTAGAAGATGTTATTAATGGGTGTAAACAAGAATCTCCGGTTTTTAGCGGAAGTGTTCTACCATTCTGGTGGCTGAGGCCAAGAGCGTGTCTGTTACATTCCACTGAAATTTCCCCAGACCCTGTGATGAGCGGAGTGCAGTGTATGAGGAGAAAAATAATTACACTTGCCAGGGAATTACTTTCATAATTCACCCACAGCTCTGCTCTGTGCAAGTTATTTTCACAGCACCTCCACACTACTGAGAGAGAAGCAGGATTGCATTATGCACATCAAAGTGGATATTCCAGGGCACCATTGATTAGGGTCTTTTATGGTTTGTTGCTGCTGTGGTTGCTGTTGTTCATATTAGGGAGGCTTAATTGCAGTATCCAGGAAAAAACCCACAACAACTAGAACTGCCCATCCATTACATTTCAATTTCTGTTATGGAAAGATGAAGAGAATTTGCCCAATTCCATTGGGCAA